AAAGCCTTACCCGAGAAAGTAGGTATAGATGTAGAAGAAAACGATAAGATTCGATACGACCTCAAATGGCTTCGGTTGATTCCACTACACTACACTACAGTAAAAGTGTTGAATCAATCACTGGAAAAAATATATAGTAAAATTGAGGATATACACTGAGTTGTGTACGGTGTGAAAACACGATTCGTAAAAATTTTCACGTTAGAAAAAAAACAAAAAAATACCTCGTAATTTTACAAAAAAACCTCTGTATTTAATAGGTTCTTTACATATAGCAATTATATCCACGACCAAACAGAATACGTATACTATATGATATGCATTTTTCAAATGACTTTAATTTCGTTTGTAAAAAAAAATAAATTCTGAAATAAAGCCAGTGTCCCTGCCGCTTGAGCCGCGCAACAGAACTGATTTAGTGCGGGAAAATTTGAATTCGAGCAGACGTATATCCACTCTTAAGAGGCTAAAAAATAAGAACATTTTCCAATAATGAGTAGGCACTTACATGGATTGTTTTGCAAAACTAAACTTCCCTATAGCTCTAGTTACTTTAGTTTAGTTAATAGTTGTCTTTTTTCCCTTACCTACCCATATGTAAAATGCTATACAGTTCACAATTTTGATATATCATCAAAAAGACGAACTTCTTTAGATTTAATCACTGTCTCTTAAGATACAGATTCGCCTAGTTGGAGAGACATGGTCGTCCATTGCTAGCTACCCTGATCCTCATTTGAATATTGTCATCTTTACTTAAAAATAGGATTTTTGTATGTTGTATTTGTATTCGGGGACATGAAAAAATAATAACAAACATTTGTCAATTTAATTATTAGTAGCAACGAACACAAGGTATGTTCCAGAATACATAGGACACAATATAAGTTTCCGGAACTGGCCACTTACATAAATAATATTTAAAAAGTAATTACAACATTTGAAAATGGAACTCTTTGGCTGTAGAATACAGTTTGCTTCATCTGACTGTCACTTGTTTTTACATTGTGGCGTCATTTTAGAAATTTGGTTGTCTACATCACCATGAATTTAACTCGTGGAAATTTTCGTAGGATGATTTTCTACGACTTTAAGTGTAATTCAACAGCTCAGCGGAGCTTCGCTCGACTTCAAACTGCTTTTGGCGATGAAGCACCATGTAAGACGACTATTTATAGCTGGTTTGCAGAATTCAAATGCGGTCGTGTGAATCGCAGTGATGAATTTTGTGATGGTCGCGCATATACTGCTGTGAACAACAAAAACATCGATGCTATGCGCCATATGATCAAAAAAGACAGACATGTGACATACCATGAGATTCGAGCATCTTTAGGCATAGGCATGAGTCAAACACAAACAATACTACACAAACATTTGGGTGTGAAAAAGCGGTGCTGTCGGTGGATCCCACACAATTTGACTGAGGCTCAAAAAACGGATCGCGTCACTTGGTGCAATGTCATGCTTACCAGATTCAACGAAGGGGCGTCAAATTTGTTGTGGGACACAGTAACAGGTGACGAAACGTGGATTTATAGTTACGATCCCAAAACAAAGCAGCAATTGAGCGTATGGGTCTTTCGAGATGAACCGAAACCAATCAACGTGGTGCGCGTGCGAAGTGCCTTTAAGCGGATGAATGCTTCTTTTTTTAATAAAACTGGACACGTGGCTACTGTTGCTTTGGAGAATCGTTGTACTGTGAATAGTGATTGGTACACGATCATTTGTTTGTCGGAAGTTATTGACAAACTCCGTACAAATAACCGTAAACGCCGTGTCATCTTGCACTACGATAATGCCAGTTCTCACACGGCCAGACAGACAAATGGATTTTTAAAGGTGAACAACGTTGACCTTATGAGCCTTCCCGCGTACAGTCCCGACCTGACACCTTGTGACTTTTATTTATTTCCAAAAATTAAGAACCAGTTACGCGGTCAACGATTGTCATCACCAGAAGAGGCTGTCAAAGAGTATGAAAAATATGTTTCAGTGACTGTCACGGAGGAGTGCCATAAATGTTTTCATAATTAATTCATTCTTATGAAAACGTGCATTAACACTAACGGAGAATATTTTGAGAAACAATAAATTCGTTTCTGACCGTTTATAGTATTTTTTATTTTAATTCCGGAAACTTATAATGCGCCTCACGAATAATTACCTAATTAGGTATAATTTATTATAATGTACCTACATTGTTTTCATTGATTACTTCTTAAAAGAAGTATAAGTAATGAAAATAATTTACATTAATCTGCAATATGTATGAGCAGAACTCGAGTTGGTTATGGTTTTTAATTGAGAATGTGATTATCAAATTGAAAATAATATAATAAGTGCGTCATAAAACGATTTTTTTATACAACCATGTGACGGTTCAAACAGTAAGCCACACGCCGCTATCCACTACGTTATAACTTGGACCTTTTCAAGGCGAGAGTGTATAGGTAGTATTTAGGTGTACGTAGGTACTCCATCGTCGACTTCATCGTCACTTTCCATCAGGTGAGATGGAAGTCAAATGCGCACTTATCGTTTAATGAAAAAAAAAACCAAAACTGTTGCAGTGCGGCTCAGAGCTTTAAGTCACAGACATCTGAGGAGCACTGGCACTGCGCCCGTAGACGTAAAGTGATTTCCAGTGCCAGTTATTTCAGCAGCACTCTTAGGCGACGCACAAACGTGTGTCTTGTGTTGGATACAAGCAACCGGCAACTATAAAGAAGCTAATATTAATTTTTTAGTTAGCGGTGGAATGTATACAAGACAATACAACTTAATCTTAATGACCCATTAAGATAATATGCGGGTACACACATAGAATATAAATATAGATATGCACCTATGTCGTTCCAGAATCATAAAGGTAGTTAGGCGTTTACATCAATAACATCCTAATTCTAAAACACCCTTTTCCTTCTTTTAAAAAGTAACACAAAAAAAGGTCCGTAACGTTTAAGTAACAGTTTCCGTACAAAATATAACAACAATAGTGAAACTTATCGTTATCTTGGATCGACACTGATACCTTAACATTTCACAAGAGCCGTCTTTTGTCCCGTACAACTATGTGCATTACTTAAATAATACGCTCCCTGATTATCGAAATGTAGTGTCCACTTAGTGATGTATCGATTTAGATGTGATATTCACAGTTGAATGGAGAATTATAACATAACACCATGTCGCGAACAACTTTGGAAATACTAGGGGTAAAAGGATACACACCTAAATTACCTGTCTAAAGTTCTAGCCACTGTGAAATAAAATAAAGTGTTCTTCATAGATTTAGTATATACTTACCTATATACTAAATCTATGGTATTTTTAGTGTAGAATTCAGATTAGAAACTTTTATAATTATAATTTTGGCGTTATTAATTTGTTTTCGCTTTAGTTTACTTTAAGTCCTCTTTGAAATCAAACTTAAGATAGGGCTAACAGTAGTGTAGGTAATTTTTTAATAACTACGAGTTCCGACGTGGCACTACTAATGCAGCGCAAATGAAATATTAACAACTTGTATGGGACACACGCAAGTAACAAATCCACTGTCTCATGGACGAACTGAAATTAGGGTGTAAAAGTGAATTACGATCAATGTTGAAATCATCGCAAACTACGGAGTAATTAGCAGCATGATTACATGTCACTATACTCACAATTCTGGTATTTTACATTTGAGTTAGATTACATAAAAATGAAAATACATTTAAGTATCTTTTAATAGCTGTATGGCTCGTTACTAAATCCTTTTTATGTTATTAGTATGATTTTGTGCTCTTCGTAAATGAAATACCTACTGTTTATTTAGTCTAGATAATATGCAATAGGAATGAAGTTATTTTAATGTTTCATTAATTTATATATAAGTAATACTTTTTTCTAACTATTAATATAAGTTGCTTTTCACCTATACTTCTACACGATATGACGCAGAGTACCAACATAGGCACTGCCAGACTAACCACCTCCACTTTATAATAGTTGCAGGATTCTTTATCACCCTTCATCTTCACCTGACGTGGTCATTACGGGATACCACTTTTTCAGGAATTTAAATAATTATTAACAAGGATTTCCGCGAATTAGTCCATTATAAGTTTCCAGACCTTGTGGGTGTCCGTTCTCCACTAATGTACCGCAAAGGAATACATGAGCTCTTCTTACAATGTAGTAGTTTTTCTAAATAAAAAAATCTTGTTTGAATTCTTTTCATAGAAATCATTTATTAATTTGTGAACACTCGATGAAAACAATTTTTTTTTATGTAAAATAAAGGTTTGAGGTAAGTTGTAGGTATAAACACTCTTCTGTCAGCCAATCTGTGAATTTAATCTAAATATATTTATCTTTTTAAATTGTCTTTTTAAATCTTTATTTCTTTTTTGTAAAAACTTATCAACACTGCACTTAACAAAAAAATGTTAAAGATGTAAAATCCAAAAAATGTGTTTGCTTAAACTGAGCATCAGTTACTATTTTATCGCACCCCTGGCCTTAACATACATATTCGTAATATTATTAGCTGGAGACCCTTTTATTAACATTGTTAATACTTACTGTAAAATTCAATTATACCAGACATCCAATAAATGCAGCTTTCATGCCTGACAAAAATATCACATTTCATCTCGTTCTATCCGATCCTGAGATCCGCTCCCCTTCAGTAAATTACACGTACATATCATACATTCATTTTGTTACAAAGGAACAAAAGCTTTCGTACGAGTACATAAAACACTCGAAACATCGAAAGAGGATAATGTCCATCATTATACATTCATGTGCATTGTCGTTTACAGTATTTATTTTGAAAATGTCGAGGGGGGAACCCTCTTTTCGGTTGAAAGCTCCCGAAAGCGCAGCGGGAAGGCGTCGGGCGGTGTCATGAGTCCCCGCTATTGGTTCCACGGCTCCCCTCCAGCATAAAACTCCGCCCTGATGGAAATTCTCCCCGGGCAGACGCATGAGCGTTCATTCAGTTAGTAACCGATTACTACGACGCAAGGTGGTCGTGTCGCAGATCGGACTCCGGACGGTGTGTTCGTAGTAAGGCACTGATTCATCAGACTAGAGCGGCGCGCTGAGTCAGTGTGGTGCGCATTCGAGAAGTGATGTTAGGTTCTGCCTTAGTGTGACCCTGGACTTTGTGTTGTAAACAATGAGTGACCCAGCTGCTTTGGCAGGCATGTTGCCTTTCGATTCTATCGGCCTCTACGAGCAGCCGAAACCACGCTTTATATTCAAGATGCCACGTGTCGTTCCTGATCAAAAAGGCAAATTTGAATCAGATGATCTCTTTAAAAGGCTGAGCAGAGAAAGCGAGGTAAGCTCTCAATTACCCGATCTTTAAAAAAAAAAACGTAACGAGACTCACTCGGACGCCAAGCTACAGGAAAATTTTATAAAAAATATGTCATCTTAATGTTAAAATTGACTTAATAATAGTATCTATTAAATTAAATTAATAGGTAAACAAATAAGGTATCTGCTTTACTGGTGCTTTGTCTCTCATGTACAAGTAGAAATTGCGTAGTTTATTAATGCTTAATATTTTAATTGCACGGAAGGTCCGATACACGGGATACAGGGATCGTCCCCCTGAGGAACGACAGATGCGATTTACCAGCGGCTGCCGCGAAGGGCATACGGAGATCGCATTTACGGCCACTGGCACCAACCTGCAGCTAAGTTTCGACCACTCTCCTTACAATAATCGAGGTTGCGACTTCCAGAAAGAAAGCGGCAAGGTAAGATATTCTTAATCGTTTCGCAATATGTAAGGTCACAATTCTCAAAAAAAGGATGAATTATGTAATCCTTCCTTACCGTTACCTACTTTATTAACAACTAAATTTACGAAATGCAAATTAAATAGTTCATTTGCGTAGTACACCATCGTACGCTAGTGCCACGCCCACGATCCGTGAATTTCCTTCCTTATTTTACGAATAAAATAGCTGATAGCTGATAAACAATGGTCTAACGCGACAGCTTCGAACTTTTAACGGATTATTATTCGTTAATAATATATTTACTTAGGTATAAGATTTCATGAAGATACCTAGACAATAAGTTTGTGAAATAGACGAGACTCCTCAAATTATAAGTTTTTGTAATCGAAGTAACCTCAAGTTTTATATGAAACATTATAAGGAAAGTAGGCTTCGGTAATGACATCATTCGTCACCAGGAGATGGCGCGTCATCAACAGCACGCTTCCGGCGCACATTTTTGAAACGAAATGAAGACATAAATAAAGTTACTCACTAATGAGAAACAATATTAGCAACTGCCCGTACTCGTAAACTTGCTACATAGTAATAATACTTATTCATTTCCATTGATACACGAAGTTATCAAAATTATTTTGCGGTTGAAAAGTGCATTTTCTCGCTTACAATGAAAAGTTTAGGCATCAAGGGAACATTAACAGTTTGTTGCTTAGGTTGTTTAATTAATTGCAAGAATAGAGCCCCAACCCACTTTCTAGCATAGCTTATGCCATAAATTCGAATTATTCAGTTTGAAATAAACAAAAACAATTTCAATTACAAGCGTCAGATTAAGCTGAAGACGATATTATCAATCATATGTTTTAGTTGCTGTGTACGATATTGTCGATTCGATGATTTACGTAATCTAAATTAAAAGTACTGTAAGGATCTAATCACTAATAAATTCAAACTCCACTAGTTTTTATGAATGAATAGCGTTATATTGTCAAATAGTCTTCCCATTTCAATGAGTACTCTTAAGTCGCGCACTATAAAATGAAGACATAAATATTCTCTAATGTATGTGTCAACTTTGATGAAAGAATATAATCCGTAACACCGCACATAAAACGACGGTCACGCTCCGTCTCATTTGATGCAATTCCCAGTGAATGACATCTACAGTCTCCGATTATGAAAATTCCAGGGCAACATTAGTTACACATGATATCGCATTAATTTCTAAGACTAGACATCGCCTTTGCTTCTGAAAACATTTGCTCGCCTCTATTCAAGCAAGACAACATGTCTTAAGTAAGGGTTTACGAGTTGAACAGTCTTATTTTTAACTAAGAATGGTCTAAATAAGCTTTTTTACGCAGCTTCTAGAAACTGATAGAAAATGGCGACGTATTTTCCAGTTATTTTCCACTATGTATTACATACACATCATTTTCTCATTGTACAGAAAGCGTGTAGAAGGACCCATTTGTCCCGGTTTATTGAATTTAGCCCCTTCGTTTGAAAGGCCGCCCGCTGTGCCTCGCATGAATACTTATATTTATTTACACTCGCTTCATTTAACTACGCGCTTGAGTGTGCTCTGGCCCTTAACTTGTAACGATATTTTATTATAGGCACATAGCAAAAAAGACTAAATAATAATGTATCGATTCCAAAATGAATTTAAACAGATTGTCAAAGAAACAGTTGAATATTAATAAACTTTTGGCATTAACAACAACAAAGGAATTATTTCAAAACTATTTAACTAAACTAAATATTGTTAATATATTTAATTAAATTTATCTATTTAATAACCATAAAATAGTTGCAGTACAAACTATACCTATTACAATGGAACAATGAACTATACGTGCGTAGTTCAAAATTGAATGTTAAAATATTATTTGATAATGTTTTCAAATGTTATTATAAGTAAATATACAGCGTTTTAACAAAAAGGAAAAAGGGGAAAGCATTTTCCAGAAAATCAATAAGTGGAAAGCGTGGTGGGCGCCGGGAGGCGTCACGCCCGCCCAACCAACATGGCCGCCGTCGCCGGCACCCGCCAGGCCCTCCTGCTAATCCTACCCTCCTGTAGAGTATAATTGGATTTACTACACAGAAACTCATACAAATGTAAATTCGATGTTTACTTGCGAAGATGCATTACATATCATATCAATTTACTAGTATCACATTCTTTACATAACATATCTACCTCATAAAGTGTGAGCTTAGAAACATAACTACATACTGTATATACATGTCAATTAGTCAAGGAAATAAGTGATTTTCTTTTATACTATATCCACATTTTATTAACAAAATGCAAGGCATATTAAAAGCACAGAACTTTAAGCGATTACATACCATACGGCAAGCGATGTTAACAACGGCAACCGTATGAATAACTTCAAAGGAGTCAATAAGGTTGTTATTAGTGAAATTACATCCTTGTCGAGTGACTGGCGCAATTAACGGTGTTCCCCGAATGCCGGAACAAAATGCACGCGATTCTCGGCTCGCTTGCCGTATGGCGCCTGGTATACAAAGGTGACCTCCACATTGCGACTGACATAGTGCCTAAAGACAAAAAACACGTAAAAAGTAAAAAGAAAAGCAATCAATAAAAATCCTTTGCCCGTCTTAAAGAATTATTTAAACGTAGGCCATAAAACATACTAGACGCGTGCTGAAATCGTCTGCGTCAGCTGCCACATATGCTTGCTTGATAAATGGTCCCTCGAGACTTAAGAAACAATCTTTGCCACCAACGGTGGTAAAATTTTTTGCTCATACTTTTTGTTTCTTAAAAGCAGTCATTTTAAAATTCTTTTCCGGTTTGACCATTTTTTTATTATTTGTTATCAGGTACACATCGTCTCCCGGTTCATAATGAATGGGGTTTGCGTCCGATGGCGGGGTTGGATAGATCTGGAGCGACTGGATGGCGTCGGTTGTCTGGAGTTAGATGAGGAGCGCGCCGCAATGGAGGATGCAGCTCTACGCGAGCAAATTGAGCGTTATAACCAGCGACTGAGAGATTTTGAGGACAAACAGCGGGCGTATCGCGAGCACGGCGAAGAGTTACGTGCTCATTCTCATGTACACGCGCAACGTTGCCATCAACCGCGGCAGCCACAGCATGCCGTACATCCTTCACATCCTCATCCACCACACCCTGTTCACATCAAACCACATTCACAGGGCGCTCTTATCTCCTAAACTCCTTTTCCTACAACTCTGACAAAGCCAACAAATCCCATCAACTTTTATTTACAATATTATTTAGTTTTGTCTGTTAATTACTACTTGGCCTACTTACAAGCACACTCCATTTATTGAAACATTTTCCTGTAAACTTATAAACCGACAATACTATTTAGTAGGTCAAATGGTGATTATTCTGAAACACAAACCGACAACTATGTGAACCATTGTTGTTTTCATTATTGAAGACGTCTGTTTTGACCATAATAGACGTGTTAGTAGGTGTTAGATTTGAATGTCTTCAGCTTAAGCCAATGACCTTATCACCAAAAAGTATTAAATCTACCTTATCACGTAGGTGGACCTAAGTTCAATAGTCTTATAATGTATGTCAAAATGTGTTGCAATGTTAGTTGTAAGTTAATTAGTGTTAAAAATAAAACAACAGCAACAACATTTTTAACTTTTGATGTTGTATCATTCAATAAATTTGAAAAGGCAAAATATATAAAAAAAAGCATATAAAAATCCTGACAAGAATTTGAATGTTTCATTATTGTATACTTTCAAAATCAATTTAGTAATTACTTTTTAACGTATCTGTCATTATTAGTAATTATGTTCTTGTTTCACTTGCGATACATGTTATTTAATTTTAAGTTGAATTTATAATCATGTAACAAAGAATAAAATACAAACTACTTATTGTGATAGTAAATGTAAATAAACTTTACGTATTTTATAAATAGTTATTTTATTTCCAATAGGAGTGCATATGGTAAATAATGTTACGAGCCATAGACATAACTATAGATAGTATATCTATGGTTCGTAGATATGGTATTATTTCAATAATACCATAAGGCAATGTCAAGAGTGACGGCAAGAGTTACTCAAATCAGAATACGTACGTTTTTATTTTCATTTTTTATTAGATACATCCATTTCAGTCGTGCATGTATCTCTGTTGCTCGTAATTAATATTATGAATAATATAACGTTTACATTACAATAAATTTAAACATCGCTGAACTAATAACGTGCATAAAAGTAGAAATCAACCAAACCACCAACATAGGTACAAGAAAAACACTCACAGGTCAAATTCATAGAATTACCAATAACATAGATAGAATAGTATTACGGTAAAGAAAATACCTACGTTTTTACTGTCTTTCTATATGTAGAGCACATAGAGCAAACATTTGACGAGAATCAACACGAAAAGATCACTGCACAATATAAGAATAATACTGCCCGGGAAAATTGCTGTCTTTTTATACGTATTAAATGATTGACAGTAAGGCAAGGATCGCGTATTTGGAAACTCGAAGAAATAACAGATTAGGCTCAAGAAAGTGTTTTAGGACCGGTCCTGTCCGTCACAATGCATCTTGTTAAATTTTCCTTGAGAAAATAATAACATTATTAACTTTTGCTGACCACTCTGCTATTAGTATGCTATTACAGCCACCTGCAGTAATCTTTGTAACGGGACCAATAAATAGCAAAGTAAATAAATCGATGTCTATTTATTTTCACTTCAGAAAAAGAATCGCAGATGGTAATCTGTTATTTATAAACAATTGAAAGTATCTAACCAATACACATCTAAGTACTCGTATATACCTACAATAATTGTAGGTACCTACCTACCTAACTTATGCCCTATTTTTTTTGGCTCAAACGACACTGGGTTTGCTTTACACTAATGAAAAGCGTAAGAAACGCTTCTTGCTTATCATAAGTCAATAATTTCCATTCAAACATCATTATTACTAGAAGAATTATTTTTTAATAATTACTTATTTTATGTTGCTGATTACGCCCAAGATTTCGTCTGCATATAAAAGTAGGTACCTACTTCGCGTAGCCTACTGTACTATACCAATTTTCACAGTTGTATTGGTTCTCGATATAAACTTTCATGCCCTATTTTACCCACTTTAAGTAAATCTTAAGTCTTTTGTGACAAAAAGTAGCCTGTCGTTTTCCTAGGTTCCATCTGTATCTATACCAAAATTCATAAAAATTGGTACAACTTAACAGAGTTACTTTCGCATTCATAATATTAGTTTGGATTAAAAATGCTAGAATATATTCTATAAAAATATTAATATCATTTCAATTATATAATTACTTCTTTATTTGTGCAACTGAGCAGAACTCCTTATTCTTCTATATAATACAAATACAAATATACTTTGTATATATTAGATTAATCTAAAGAAAGCCACTTTCTTGATATCTATTTGTGTTTCTATTGTAATGAATGGTTTTAGAAATTGTCAACTTTAACTAGGGAACATCGACATTTCTTTCTGACAATAGGTAAGATGTGTTGTATTAATTCATTCATTTGGAAAGTAACTCTCACGTCGAGCGGAACCCCAATAAATATCAATTAGTCCAAAGTTAAACTCCAATATAAAACTAACCATTATTATTAGTACCTGTAGCTAAAATTGACAAGGTTTCTGTGTACTCAAGCATGCAGTTAGGGGTGGCGCGAGGGTGATCCGCCGTATTCCTCACGCTAGTAGAATTAAATGCAATTAGCCTCTGCTAGGCCCAACACGCGCGGTACACCTGTGCTTTTGGCTGCGCCCGAACTGCTCTTCCCCGCCCTTGCTCATTATACGCAATTTAGACTAAAGAAATGCTCACGTTCATGCTCGTTGAACACTACGCACAGTTTAAATGGTGCTGTAAAAGTAACTGCTGCTTAATGACAAACTAATTACCATCCATTGTTGGTAATTCGGGGAATGTAAAATAATATTGCTCAGCCGTACCACACTATAGACAATTTAGTATTTTGTTACTTGTAAATTCATTTAAAAACAAGTGTTTAGACCTATTTGTTACTTTGCGAACAATTTTTTAACGTCAAAGAACAAAAATGCCTACCCATTTGGTCCATGATCAGGGAAGACCAACTAAAATTTTATTGCATACACTTATTAAAAGTTAAAAAAATTGGACTTTTACTCAAACTTTACGTAATTGGTATCTACGTAGACTGGGTAATACCTCCTTCCGAAAAACAAAACAAAATTGCAAAAAAAATTTCTAATTACAATTACCATTTTATTTTTCCATGCTCTAACTATGGCACAAAATACAACATAGGTACAATAATTCAGGGAAGGCACAGGGAGAAATATTACCTACTCTGTTCATTACTTCCTTTAGAAGTTTAGACAAATTCTGCCGTCGGCTAACGCGGTTAAGTGACAAAATCATTCTTTGAGATATCATAAAAAAATATAACCCAGTTTTAGAATATTAAAATTGTTTAATGATATTTCAGCTATGCACATCACTACGATACCTAAGTTCCGATATGTCGAACACATTAACTATAGCTGTTTTTAAATAGAGAATTTTGAGCTGGCAATAAATATAGTATGCCTATTTTGATTTCTGGTCATGAACAAAAACAAAATCCATTACAAAATCTCCTCCGTGCTCCAATTAATGCATAAAAAAATGTTAAACAAACCCAATTGTAACAAAGTAATAACAGAAATACGGAGTTATTTAAATAATGTACATAATTTTCACATTATGTGAAATCACGTTATCTAGGTATATTAAAAGGTAAACATAATTTTGAAAAAACATAAAAATTATTATGAAGTAGAGGATTCTTTTGGATTACCATCCTAAGATCTGATGCAAAACACGTAGATATGATAGTATAAAATACAGTAACGTTACACTTTATGCGGAACTTGGCATATTACACTTGCGATGGTATCGCACCCTTATATTGTGACGCACGGCACCTTGACCGTCAAAATTGAGCAGGTACCTTTATTGCACATCATCCGGATCGATCTCAACAAAAAACTTGTAAGGCAAAAATCAGGGAAGGTATCCATGCTATCCAGTGAAATCTCATATACAATGAACCCGTGATTTATCGGGCCATTCTTTTTGCGCAAAAAGCGCAGGTCAGTGTAGAAGCGAAGCACCAAAAGGGCATTTCGTGTAATCCGCGCCGGAGCGTGGGAACAGCGCGCTATGCCGGCTTGATACTCATACAAAACTTACTTTAATATAACCTTTTTATTTTACTTTTATTCAATATTACACGAGCACCTTTTAAAATACAAGTAATATTAACATAACTAATACAGGTGTTTATGTATTGTGCATTGTCATAAATAAATCTACAAACAAATTGAGAATGTGTCATAGTAGGTTATCAGTAATCTACGCGATAATTACGCTCGTAATGTTTTTAAATTTGGAATATTAGGACCAGCAGTAAATTTAATTCAACTTCCAATAAATGTCATCGGAAACTTTTTTTATTATAGTTTCTACTCTACAACAATTAAAATGTTTTCTGGAACGTCTCTTTCAATATTTTCTATCGTTTCTTTATGTAGCGATAACGACAACATTTACAATAGGCAAGGCAAATATATTTTGATATCTTATTATATCAAATTATCTGCCATCTTATAAGCAATATATTTATCTACTACAAAAATATAGTACCTATGCATACAATACTATGGTATGGTAGTATGCATACAATGACGGTAATGGTACCTAATCTCTCGCCAAAATAAACGTTCGCACTAATCAACCATCATTCACTCTGATTGATATATCTCGTTTCAATCAAGTCAAGTGTATTCTCAAAAACGTGCTACATACAAACATGTTTCGACCTCACGTAGCTAACTCACATAAAGTTTATATAAAAAGGTACAAAAGTATAGGAACTATTGTTAGTAATCTATCATCATCATCATTAACCTATTTATACGTTCCACTGCTGATGAGGGTTTAGGCTTGGTCCACGACGCTTTCCCAGTGCGCGTTCGGGAATTTACACGTTTTCTGAAGGTTGTGAGCGTCCCTCAACGTGCAGGTTTCATCACGGTGTTTCCTTTACCGAAAAGCTCATGGTAAATTTCAAATTAAATTTCGCACACAAAATCCCGAGTAATTTAGTGGTGCGCTCAGATCATACAAATTGTATGATCTGAGGTGGTGCGAGTCTGGATTCGAACCAGCGGCCTCTGATTGAGAGGCGGAAGGTCAAATCATTAGGCTACCACGGTTATTTTTTAATATTAGTTAACATTGTTAAAACACACACTTTGTATAACACAAATTTGAAAGTTTTGCTTTATGTCTACTTTTAATCTTAATTGAGATAAAGTAGAAAGTGTGGAAATGCGACACCTATCTTGATGGACGGTGATACTAAGGTTTCCCGAAGTTGCGCCCCAACCGGTCTTATAACACACATGACTTCACTTCGGCCAAGACGCGTACACCAGGCTTCCCGAAACGACCAGGATCACATATTATAAAACTTATAACTTTTCAGACATTTTGGTATGCTTAATGATAGGATGTATTACACAACGAATCATATTCGAAGATCCAGCAGGTACGAACCTATATTTATTTGCATCATGTAAAGTTAAATTAAGCTGTTTGTTTATCCAACAGACCCAAATTACCGAATGCAGAGCGCACTCGCACATCAAATAGAGAAGTT